CTTTAGGATCAGTTTGCCAATATCCACAAAATAATCTGGCTAATATTTTGTTGGAATTGAATTGAATCTATAGATCAAGTTGAGAAGAACTGACATCTTAACAGTATTGTCTTCCAATTCATAAACATGGAATATCTCTCCATTTATTTAGATCTTCTTTGATTTCATTCCTCAGAATTTTGTAGTTTCCTGATATGGATCTTATATATACTTTGTTATATTTATACCAAATACTTCATTCTATTTAGGTTTTTTTTTTGATGCTAATGGAAACTATTGTATTTTTAATTTCAAATTCCACTTATTTGTTGCTGGTATATAAGAAAGTAATTGACTTTTGTGTATCCCCCCTCTTTTATTTCTGATATTAATAATTTGCATCTTCTCTCTTTTTTCCTGGTTATTCTGTCTGACTAGAGGTTTATCAACTTTATTGATCTTTTCAAAGAACCATCTTTTGGTTTTGTTAATTTTCTCTATTAAGTTACTGTTTTCAATTTCTTTGATTTCTGCTTTAATTTTTATTTACTTCTTGTCTTCTACTTGGATTAGGCTTTTATTGCTCTTCTTTCTACACTTTCCTAATATGTAAGCTTAAATTTATTTTAGCTCTATCTTATTCTCAAATACATGTGCACTCAGTGCTATAAATTTCCCTCTAAACACTAATTTTGCTGCATCTCACAAATTTTAATAAGTAGTGTTTTCATTTTTGTTTAGCTCAAAATATTTTAGTATCTCTAGATACTTCTTTGATCCATGTGTTACTTATTTAGAATTATGGTGTTTGATCTATATCTGTATTTCTTTGATTGATTTCCAGTTTGAGTCCATTGTGATCTGGGACATATTTGGATGATTTCTATTATTTAAAATTTTAAGGTGTGTTTTATGATCTAGAACATGGCCTATTTTGGTGAATGTTCCATGTGAGCTTGAGAACAACATGTATAATGCTGTTCTTGGAAGTATTCTATAGATGCAGTTAGATGCATTTGATTGATCATGTTGTTTAGTTCCACTATACCCTTACTGATTTTCTGCCTTCTAGACCTATCAATCACTGAAAAAGGGATGTTGAAGTTTGCAACCATAATTATGGATTTGTTTATATTTCCTTGCAGTTCTAGCCTCACATATTTTGATGCTCTGTTGCTAGATGAAACCATGTTAAGTACCGTTATGTCTTCTTAGAGAATTGACTGATTTATCATTGTGTTATGCCCTCTCTTTATCTCTGGTAATTTTCCTTGCTTTTAAGTTTGCTTTGTCTGAAATTTATTAACTACTTCATCTTTCTTTTGATTAGTGTTATTCTGGTATGCCCTTTCACATCCTTTATTTCTAACCTATTTGTGACTACTGATACAGTTGAATTAATATATACCATGTTTTTAACTGTTTTCTATTCATACCATTTGTTCTCTGTTCCCTTTTTAAAATATTCTTCTCTTTTTCTCCCTTTTCTGGTTTTAATTGAGCATGCCACAAGATTCTATTTTTTCTCCTCTCTTAGCAAATCAACTATACTTCTTTCTCCTCCTTTTTGTGTTTGCCTTAGAGGTTGCAATATACATTTACAGCTAATCTAAGTTTACGCTTGAAATAACACTATGCCACTTCATGGGTAGTGCAGGTACCTTACAAGAGTATCACCAATTCCTCCCTCTCATCCCTTATAACATTGCCATCATTCATTTTATTTATCCATATGTCAAAATCACCCAATATTTTTACAATTATTACTTTGAACAGTTAACTGTTAGATCAATTAAGAATAAGAAAAATAAAAGATTTTTATCTTTCATTTATTCCTTCTCTGATGCTCCCTTTCTTTATATAGATCTGAGTTTCTGACCTACATCATTTTCCTTCCCTGTGAAGAACTTCTTTAACAGTTTTTGCAGGACAGGTCTACTGTTGATTAATTTCCTCAGTTTTTGTTTGTCTGAAAAAGTATTTATTTCTCCTTCACTTTTGAAGGATAAATTTGCTGAACATAGAATTTTAGGTTGGTGTTTTTCATTCATTCAACACATTAAATATTTTGCTCCACTCTTTTTTGCTTGCATGATTTCTGTCAAGAACTCTACTGTAATTCTTACCACTGTTTCTTTAATGGTAAGATGTTTTGTTTTGTCCCCTGACTTCTTTAGAAGTTTTCTCTTTATCTTTGACTTTATACCATTTTAATACAATATGTCTGTTTTTTCATATTTACCCTGTTTAGTGTTCTCTAAGTTTCCTGGATCTGTGGTGGTTTGTTTTCTGTCATTAATTTCAGAAAATCTTCAACCATTATTACTTTAAATGTTTTTGCTCCTTTTTCTCTTCCTTCTCTTTCTAGTATTCCAATTATGCACACAGTATATCTTTTATAATTGTCCCATATTTATTGGATAATTTGTTCTTTTTTATTATTCTTTTTTTCTTTGCATTTCACTTTGGGAAATTTTCTTGACATATCTTCAAACTCACTGATTCTTTCCTTGGCTATGTCCAGTCTAATGAGACCATGAAAGGGATTCTTCATTTCTGATACAGTGGTTTTGATTTCTAGCATTCCTTTTTGATTTTTACTTAGGGTTTCCATCTCTTTACTTACATTACCCATCTTTTTTGCATGTTGTATTATTTTTCCACTGGGGTCCTTCACATATTAATCAATGAATCACAGATATTTTAAATTCCCTATCTGATAATTCTAAAATCTCTGTCACATCTGAGGCTGATCCTCATGCTTGCTTTTTGTCTTCAGATTGTTCTTTTTCTGGCCTTTTAGCATCCCTTGCATTTCTTGTTGAAAGCAGGACATGATGTACTGAGCAATGGGAAATGAAATAAACAGGCCTTTAGTGCAAGGTTTTATCTTAATCTAGCAAGACGTTGAGCTGTGTTTAAAGTTTTGCTTTAACTGTAGGTACCAAAGACTTTGGTTTCTTCTAGAGTCCATTTTTCACCCCTTCTCTTGTTTTTGAGTTTCTTTAAGTGCAGTTTCTTAAATTGAGCCTGTGTCTTGCAGTTCTCTCAATCATAATCCACTGCTATTGTACTGAAACTCTGTTGATGTGATGGTAACGTATAGGAAGGCAAAATGTTCTATAATCTTATGATTATATCTCACTGGGCCTATGTCCCTGGGCTGTGACCTTCACAAAAGTTTTTTAGCCTTTTTTTCCTCCCTTCAGGTGAGATAGGAAAGCTAGAGGGACTAGAGTTGGCTTATTGCCTTGCCCCAGGGTCAGACAGGCTCTGATAAAGTATTTCCCCTTGTTTAAATTAAGGAGGGCAGGCCTTTGTCAGGAAGTCCATGCTGGGAGTATTCCCAATGGCTATTTTTCCCATACACATAATTCAAAATGATTACTTTCCCCTCTCCCTGTCCCAAGTGAGATTTTTCTCAGATCTATACCTTGGAATCCTCGTAGGTTTCTAGAGGTAAAAACCTTCAAAAGTATGTGGACCCCATAAGCCTGGGACCTAGCAGTTTCTTACTCTCAAGCTAGTCAACACTCAGCCTCCAAGAATTCAGCAAAATTACCATTTAAGTCCCCTTGGCTGTTTCTGGCTCCAGTGGTGTCTGCTCATGTCAGCTCATCTTGGCTGAGATTCTCTGTAACCACTTGTCTCTCCAGATTATAAGGTGGCAGTTGTCCTGTGGCTTCAGTTCTCTAATGTGTCTAAGAAAAAACTAATTTTCAGGGTTTTATTCAGCAATTTTTCTTACTGTAGGAAGGGAAATGACAATTTCCTAGCCCTTTATATGTTAGAACTGAAACCCATAGTCTCTTATATATCTTTTAATCTATAAATTCTCCCTCACTATTTTTCTTCCCTCACAATTTATTTGTTGAAGAAAGTGGAGTCCCACATTCTAAACTTTGCTGATTGCCTCCCGATGGGGACTTTTACACATTCCTCTGGCTCCTATATTTTCTGGAAAGCTAAAGGCTCGATCAAATTCAGCCTAGATTAATGGCATGATGATTTTATAGGGGTGTTGTGTAGTTCCATTAGGAGGCTCATAATGTCCAGTTTTTCTCTTTTTTGTAACATTAAGATTGGGCAATAGGATTGCTGTTGTCAGCCTGATCCACCATTATAAAACTCTCCATCAGCAATTCACCTAATGGTTTTTAATAGCCGTTGATGATCATGGCCTAAATCCATTATTTCATTAGGAGTTCAATGGTGACATTCTAATTTTACCATTGTTCCCATATTTATTCACTGAAATTAGTTTAAAAAGTCTTTCCCAAATTAACTATTTGGCACCCTTAAATACTATTTGTACAAGAAATGTGATATAAATGCTCAATTGTTTCACTTCATTTGTTAATTTTTAGAATAAAGTGTTGGTTCCACAGCATCTCCCAAAGGTGACTAATGAAAGTTTTGTGTGTGAGTATTGTTAAGAACTAATGGATTTTAACATATTTGATATGTCTCAATCCATTATCATTATTATTCTTTTTTTTGTGCTAATATTCTTTCATCTTTGGCAACTGCAACCCCCTTCAAATTAGCTCTGATGTCCATTTGACACGAACTCAGTTGTCTCTAATAGCTTCCTTGTCTTTCAGTATGACAAGATATTCCAGACACATTTTATTCATTTCCTGGCCCAGAATTGGTATCAGCCCTTTCTTCAAGGATACCTACAGTATCCAAGCCCTACACTATTAATAGAAACCACATACACAAAACAATTTGAAATATCAGTGTCGGTGGACTGCAATTTGCCAATATTTGATACCATTCTGTTAGTTGTCTGCCCTTAACTATATATAGGATATTTATCAGGATAATAAATGTCATTACTACAGATATTTCTGTAAAACAAAGTTAATGCCTCAGTCAATAATCTACTTGCTTCATGTAACATTCCATACAACACAATTCCAGTGCACCAAAATAATATTTCTCTGTCTCTGAAAACCAGCTTGGTATTTTTCCTTTCTGGCTACCATTTATTTGGATACCATTGTTCATACTTCTGCAATATCAGCTCTCCAGCCTTATTCCAACCTTCATCCTCCATAACTGCACCCTTTCCCCAAACCACTTAGTTCTTATTTCTATTTCAATTCCACCTAAGTATCGAACACCCATCCTAGATGTCCTCGTCAATGAATGTATGGAATTCTCAATCTCAGAGGACTCCACTATTTAGTAACTGCCTTATCCCACTCATATTCTGTTTTGTCCCATAAAGGAGGACACACAGCCTGCTCTAAGTGTGTACACAGCAACAATTTGTCCCTCCCCACTACCCAAGAATTTGATTTGGCCTCTTAACCAGTGCTTTTCAAACTTTATTATGCACAGGAATCCCCTGTGTGGTCTTGCTAAAATGCAATTCTGATTCAGTAGGTCTGAGGTTGGGGCCAAGATTCTGCATTTCTAACAAACTCTCATTGTGCAGATGCTGCTGGTCTTAGACTACACTTTGAGAAGCAAGGCTCTGCAATGCTGGGATTATATGCTTCTATGAAGAGATATTCTAAACACACACCGTTCTCCTTAATCTCACCATCTGTTCATCTCTACTCTCACGCTTAATGATCCTCCCCCTTACGTCATCTAAATCACAAGACGGACATCAGGTGCAAGCTTGGACAAGTGATACATTGTTACCATTTTGACAATGAGAAATCTGTTATATCCTGTGGTAGTTTTAAAATATGTTACAGATTATTTAGCAGTTCCTTTCTTCAAAAAGGGAACTCATTCCCCTCCCCTTGAACATAGATCAGCCTTAGAGACTTGCTTCTAAAGAACTGCAGAGGGAGTGATGCTGAGTGACTTCCAAGGGTAGGTCATAAAGGGAATACAGCTTCTGCTTGCATGTATCTTTGGAATTACCTTGAAGTTACCATGCTAGAGAGAACACACAGAAACACAGATGCTTGAAAGCCCCAGCATTTGAGCCCTGTTGTTTGAGTCTTTCCAGCCCATGCGACTTTCCAGACATGTGAATGAGCTCGTCTTCAGACAACTCAAGCCCCAGCCACTGACCAGAACTGCGTGACAGATCAAGAGCCAGAACCTCCCTGCTGAACTATACGCCAGTTCAACTCACAGAACCACGAGACATAATAATAAATGATTGTTAATATTCTAAGTCACAGTTTTGAGGTGGTTTGTTATGCAGCAGGAGGTACCTGGAAACATATCACATTTCCCCTTTGCTCCAATTGCCAAAAACTTTGGAGCCAAATTTGACACTCAATCACCCAGCTCTATCAGCTCTCATGGTGATCATGTTTGCTTCTTCCTCCTTTTTGAGTCCTGGTCTTTCTTCTGTTTATTAACTTTATTATTCCGGTGTCCTCTTTTCTAAGCTCTTTCAAATTCTTTTAGAAAATAGAGGAGGTATAAATAAACAATGATTTTCTGTTTCTTACTCATTTGCCTCTACATTCTCATGTTTCAATTTACTTTCTTTCATTCTTTCATGTTGTCTCAGAAAAAAAATTAACGTCCTATTTCCTTTCCCTTCTTCACTGTCTTTAATCTCTCGCCATCTGTCTCCTTGCCATCTGATTTTAAATAAGTACAAAGCTCTTCTGTCGTGAGAAAACCTTTATACTTTCACTACTGCCATGTTTATTACTTTTTTTCATAGTCAATCTTCTGAAGAATGTTTCCCTTCTACTTTATTGAGGCTCCGATGGAATTTTCACTTGTATATCAGCATGTGAAATTCGACACCTCCTACAAAGAAAACACGTGAGTATGGTGGGTGCTTTAATTTAACGCGGAAGAACAATAGACTGTAAATACTGTTACACATAAAAAGCATTCCTTGGTCAGCACCCAAAGATACCTCTTTAATTACTGGAGCTATCTCCAGTGGACATTTTTGCTCATCTATCCTTTAGCAATTTGTAAAACCATATTTTTTCCAAAACGTTCTTAACTACATCTCCAACATTCACTCAGATACAAATAACACTATGTGTCTTTCACCACTTGGTTCAGTAGATTATCTTTGCAAAACAAAAGCCTGGTAATGACAGGAAAAGTGACATTTTCATTAATATTTAATTGTGTTGTGTGTATAATAATGCAATAAATCCTCCCTCTTTGACAGTGTCCTCATGTACCCTGAACTGATGTCTCCTCATTCTTTACTATACCATCTCTCCCCAGCACTGATGAGCACTAATTCAGAATAGTATTGGTTGAGGACAGAGGCTTATCATTGAGTGTAGAAATGGAGGATAGGATCTGTGCCAAACTTGGTCCAGGATCAGAAATGTTTACAATATTGATGGGAGTGGATGTGAGGAATTTCAACAAGAATGTCAGACTATATATTCTGCATCTAACGAATATTGTTCTATGAAGCTCTCATTTTTAGAAGCTGATTATTTATTCAAAATTCTATTTTTGGAATTACCAAATATCTTCTGAAAACCATTCAGTGGTTACTTATTTTCCCAAGATAAAGCCCAAAGTCCTTGGCCTGGCTCATAAATTCTGTTGCATCCGGTCTCATCCTAGCCTCTTTATCCCTTCCATTCCCATTTGCCAACTGACAGGCAGCTTATCTATGTTTCTGCCAAACTAAACTATTTGCTTTTCCACAATTGTGAAACATTTCCTTGTGTAACCCAACATTTGCAGAGGCAAATCTTGTCTAGATTTCCATCGCCAATTCTTCTTATCCTAAAACTCTCTTTTTACTACCATTTTGTATGATTATCACCTGCTACCCCTCAGTTCTAAACTGGGAAATCAATCCTCCAGAAGACCTATCTGACTACCCACATTGGGCTTAAGTGCCCCTTCTCCACATTCAAATAGCATCCCATCGTATCGCTATGTCCACTATATTGGACTCACCTTCTCACAAGTCTGTCCTCTCTGAGAGCATCTGAAAGAGAGGTCATCTTTTTTTCTTTTCACATTATATCTTCTGCACCCACAGAACCTAACACAACCCTGGCACACAAGACACTTGCAGTGAATGTTATATGTTGAATGAGAACTGCATGTTCATTCCTTTCGATGCTTAAAAACAACACATTTTATACATATGAAGGTAGGTTTGGTTTTCTAAAGGAGTCAAAAGTTATTTGGATTAAGTAGGGAAATAAAGCAAGTGATCAAGTTTAATAAAAGCATTTTTGAGGATATGAACAATATAACTGCTACCTTCCCCCACAAAAACATGTCATAACTGCAGCATAATGAGAATGATTTTCTTATGTAGTTTCTGAAATGTGACTGAAAACCATCCCAAAGGAGGGTTTAGAGTGTGAGAGATAACAGCTAAGGAGAATGAGAGAATCACACCTGAAAGAAACTCTTTTGAATGGGACAATTTTCTTTGTCTGTATAGGGACCAGTTATGTAGAAAAGTGGTTCTAGTGGAAAAAATACTGGGACGGAGTTCCAAGTTCTGTCTCCAGCTCTGCCACTGGCCATGCATATGACTTTGGGAAAAAGATTCCACGGTGTGTTTCCTTCCCCTTGGCGAAAGGGTAGACGAACAGTGCCGCTTATCAGGGAACTGCTACACTGTGGGCGTTCTGGACCCCTGTTGCTAAATGCTAGGAGCAACCCCAGGAATTGTCACAGCCCCAGTGGAGAACTACTGCCAGATGATCTTTCCAGTCCTTTACTGTCCTATCATCCTACAAAAGAAGCAGAGGCTTCTTAACATGACTGGTTTTTTACAACCATCACTTCTATTTAATTCCAGGAGAGATCTTAGGAGATTCAGCCAATGGGCTTACTTTCTAAATGTGAATCTTTCTCATTATTTGGACCCTGTTAGGATATCTGAAATTTCATCAATAGATTCTTAGTCTAGGTTAAAACACTAACATTTTAAGACTCTTACACATGCACTAGATTCCCAAGAGACTCAAATTAATGTCTTAAGTGAGGTTTAGTTGTTATCTGGAAATAAGTAGAGAAGAAAGGACTAATCAATAAGGAGGTATAGCTTAAAATTAGGAGGATCTTGATAAGGTTTTGGGAATTAGAATATTTCCCTCTAAGGAAGAGAGATAAAGGCAGTAAACACAGTGATCAGTTAGTGCACCAGCTAAAAATACCTTAATCCACTGCTAAGGGATATAGAAAACTTCAATACGTCTGGCTTTTCTTATCACACATAATGGGGAATAAACAATAAAAGAATATGGTTGATTGGGAGAAATTCTATCTAGACTTTCACACTATCCATTTGAAAGGATGTAAGTATTTTAGTCTATAAGATAGCACCAAGGTCTGATAGACTGTTTATTGCTTTTTCTCCAGCACCCAAAGAGCCTAAACATTTCTTGATTGCTGTATTCTTTTTTTTTTGAGGAAGATTAGTGCTGAGCTAACTGCTGCCAATCCTCCTCTTTTCGCTGAGGAAGACTGGCCCTGAGCTAACATACACACCCGTCTTCCTCTACTTTATATGTGGGACGCCTACCACAGCATAGTGTGCCAAGCAGTGCCATATCCGAACCTGGGATCCCAACCAGCAAACCCTGGGCCGCTGAAGCGGAACTTGTGCACTTAACCTCTGTGCCACCGGGCTGGCCCTTGATTGCTGTATTCTTGATGCACAACAGAATGGGATAACCCGATCAGCACCATTGGCCTATCAGCACAGGTTAATGAGATAACTTGGGTCATGATGCCCTCTCTGATGAAAGGGGATTTAGGAGGGGGAAAGTTAGGAATGAGCGTGCTCTCAGGGAGATAACAAGTTGAAGTGAGAGCCAGAATAAATAAACTAGCTGAAAGAAATGAAAGGGTAAGCCTACACCAACTTCTCCTGATGCGGGGTCGGTGAGCCGAGGAGTCAAAAGAAAGATTTCTTAGACTCTTAAGATCTGGCAGTAGTGCTCTTTTATTTAGAGAATACAATAGCATGGGGACAGGACCCATGGGCAGTCAGAGCTTCTGCTGCCGCCGCTTCTGCTGCCCCCACTGGCATGGGGACAGGGCCCATGGGCAGGCAGAGCAGCTGCTGCCCCCGCTGGCATGGGGACAGGACCCATGGGCAGGCAGAGCTGGTGCGTGGGGACAGGACCCACGGGCGGTCAGAGCTTCTACTGCTGCCCTGAGTTGAGGGTTAGGGCTAATTTTATAAGGTATGGGTACGTGACTTATTTTTACTGGAGAAAAGAAAAGATGATGTAAAAAGTCATTAAATGATTTCAGTGCAGATGGGGTCTGGTTATTGTGCGGTCATATAACTTTAGATACGAATCTGGCCATATAGATCGGCATGTAGGTGAGGATGCCCTGGGCTTCTCTCCCTGGGGCAGTCCTAATTCATACCATAAAAAAAGTCCACTGGGTCGTATAGTTTGGCATGTAGGCCAGGTCACCTTGGGCTTCTCTAGCTGGGGCAGCCTTAATCCACATCACTCCCACTCAACAAGTTTGTCAACAGCCAGACCTGTTAATAACCCCTTTCTGGCAGTGTCACTCTGTGGTGACCAAGGAAATTTGAGCTTCTCATTAATGTTATCTCAGGAGACCTAAATCGACCACACTGATGTATTTTAAGAGAAGTGAAAGCCTGTAAATCAATGGACTAAGCATAAACTTTGGAGCTAGGCAGATGTAGGTTTGACTCCCAGAGGAGGAGTGTACATCACCGTGTTCCTTCCCCCCATTTTAAATCCATCTACTCTCCCCCGACTTCCAGAGCAGAGGCATTGCATTGGAAGGAGCTAACCAGATAGACGAGGTAAAACTCTCTGGATACAGAACATGAAAAAACCATGATATTTACAGTTGTTTCAAAAAGTAATAGAACTTCACTTATGTTTTACATATCTTACTGTACTTGGAATCAAATATGCATATGCAAATACCATCATGATTTATTATCACATCTTCAATAGTTAGAGTTGTTCTCCCTTTGGGATATTAGTTGGTGATATGGTGTGCCCTACTATAACCCAGGAAATGTATGATCATTCTACTTTATCATCAACTGAAGCTACACCATTATTGCAAAATTATAGTTGTATAGCTTTGAGTAAGTTCCTCAACCTCTGTGAGCCTCCTTATTTTTAAAAAAAGAATTACAGTAACATATAGAGCTTATTATGTGTTAGGTCCTACTCTGGACACTAACACTTTACACTGCATTGCCTGATCCTCATAGCCTTCCTGAGAGGTAAGTATTATTACCATCACCATTTTATAGAAGAGGAAACCTGGGGCCTAGAGAGCTTAAAGATGACAGAGCTTTTGCCCATGGTTACAGAGCTTTTAAGTGGGGTAGCTCGGATTCAACTCCAGACTGTCCTGCTGTGGGGTCCAAGTTCTCAGTCACCGTGCTACAGCTGCTTCTCTTGCTCACCTCCAAAATATTCCACACAGCAATCATTACAGTCAGATCTTTTTGTTACTCTGCTTTAAAATCTCACAATGGCTGTATGCTATGGAGGAAATAACCAAATTTCTGTTCAGAACTAAAGGCCCTGAATTATCTTGTACCTGCATGCATCTCTAGCCTCACTCACACTATGCAGTTTACCTGCTAATACTCCCTAGTATGCTTTCTCAGACTTTTTTCATATATATCTATGATATATTTCATATATAAAAAATTTAAGATTATATATGTGTATATAATCATATAATATATTTTATATTATATATTATGTAATATTTTAATAAAAATGGGATATCAAATACATTATTATGTTACCTGTTTTTTTTTACTCAGCAATGTATCATGAACA